CTTAAGGATCTATCCCACCCAGGACATTCTTTTTTTGAACTATTACCATCTGGCAGATGGTACAGGATAATGAAAACAAGGACAAATAGGCTGAAGAATAGCTTTTATTTTAGAGCTGTAACTATATGAACTCTACTGTATAGTACAGTATTAATGCAGCATCAGGGGTGAATGGAATGTGAAGGTTGTGTTTTATGTGTTCTATGGTTTTTATATTTTTAAAGCTGTACTGGAGTGGCATTTAATTTCGTTGTACGAGAAGTACAATGACAATAAAGATTACAATACAATACAATACAAACTCAACCATTATATAGGAATATGAAGTTCTATGTACCATGCAGCTAAGGGAGGGAGGTACATACCACTATTCAATTCCTCCTCCCCAGTCTTCAGTAAGACCACTAGCATTACATTTGGTCCATACTTTATCAAATAAAACCAGTGTTTATTAAAATTACTAGGAGATCCTCAGATACAGAAGCTAAGAGTTTCGTTAGCTCTCAGAGTTACATTCATCACAGACTCTTTGAAATGTCCTTATGGTAGGATCTTATTTTTTTTCCTTGAGAAAACCTTTTAAAGAAGACAACAGCACTTCCATAGTATTGCCGGGAAAACTGCATAGAGCAAGAGTTGAAGGCACTTTCTCTTAATGACTTGCAATTATCTGTGTAAGGTTTGTATCATTACTGAAACCCCGACTTTACTGCATCTGTATCATTTCATTAATAATTTAGTTATCAGGTGCTAGTGGTTTTGTAACTAGAACAGCACAATTCACCTGAAACAGCAATCTTGCCTAGGATTACCAGATCTGGTCTTTGCTTGTGGAGAAAGGAAGAAATGAAAGGGAGTGGAATAACCATAAGAAGAGGATTTCAGGTCCTTTGATTAACCGTGATAGATTTCATTGCCCTAAGAGGTGATGGTGGTTAATTTAGCTGCAATGAGCCAGATAGTGCTTTAGAAATACAGAAAATTCTGCCATTTAGTGGTCATCCAGATTTTCCGGTCCAGGTACAGTAGTCCTAGTTTAAGTAGCAGGTATCAACCAAACTATAATTTACTTTCCCATTCCTTTTCATCACGGCGCCGAGGCCCAGGTGGCAATGTACATTTTCACACAACCAAATGCGGTGGCCAAAAGAGCTAAATCTCTTTTCCTTCTGTTCGTGAGCAGACCGTGAGTCTAATCCAGCAGCGCATCCTTTGCTCTGAATATTAACTATTTTAAAAAATGCCCGCCGTGTGAAAGGGAACGGCGCTCCACAACCGGGGCTCCCTCGGCTGGCCCTTTAATAAGTCTGAGGTGCAAAG